ACCAAAATAAGACAGAATTGACTATATTACCATAAATGACAGATTTTACTATTTATATCGCCAAAATATGAAATAATTGACAATTGATATCCCCAGCATTCTTAACCATTCATTAAGAAGTAGGGGACACTCTTTCATACTTTGTACATTTACAAATATTCTTTGTAAGACTTTGCAAAATATAGCGAATATTTTAATTTTGTAAATTCTTACAAATGAACACGAAACGAACATGTGTACAAATGTCCAAAAATTATGTTAAAACAGTCAATTTACTTATGAGATTAATCAACACCGATTTACACATTAAATGTGTAACGATTGATTGGAAATAACGCAGTTCTATTAGACTAAAATAATTTTAAACACTACTCCTTATGAAAATTACAAATAATACACAACAATAATGAAACAAAATAATTTCACGAATTATGTACATGTCAATGTCACTACAACTATATACATAAAGGAAAAACATCATACATGTACATTAACACATCTTTTTAATAGTACAACAAAAGCAATTGTCCTTGTACAATATATATCAAATATATTCACTGTCCCCCAATTGTATCAAATAAAGTTTCTATACAATAGGTTAACTAAGTATGTCATCAATAATTTTCTAAAATTATATAAATACAAAAAAATTCAAATTCCACAGGAATCATCATACATTATTAATATAATTTTTGAAAACAAAGTGTTAAGTCAATGATATATAAAAAGAAAAACATTTCAAGATATTCTTAGAAATACATTTTCACTAAAACAGCAACAATGTACCGTGCACAAACATTGTGTATAACTACAAACTACCCAGCCTCGCGGACACAATTCAAACTTTTACGTTTGAAAATGAAACTTTTGCCATATTCTAATGCTATTCAATGGGTAAAAGGGTAATTAAATGTTTTGAAAGCAAACACAAACAACTCCATTAACATTTGTCAATTTAAACAATGGATTATCTTTAACATAGTGATAATATTTCATTTCTTGTTCAGCAAAATCGCATAAACGCGAGAAGCTCTCTATGATGACATCAACATATCGTTTGAGAGCCAGGACTATCAACAAATACACGCCACGTGTCTATACTCATGTTTGTATTTTCTAGATACTTAGTAAATAAATGTTTGTCCATCTCTGATGTTAAAGTAAGAGGGTAACCATCCATATCTACATTCTGTAACTCTAGTATTCTAAGTTTATGAAATGTATTTACTACATAACATACGTGTTTCCTGAACTGATATTAAGCACCTTATACTTGACCTTTAAGGGCGAGTTTATTTTGTCTGTTGGCATTTCTTAAAAGATCAATATTTAATATACAAGGACATTTTTCAAGATGTACACTTTGAAGGTGTTCAGTGTTGCGGTCACATATTTTCAATTTTGACAGTCTAACAGTGCAAGAATCTGAAGACTGTTTAGTTTAGAAAGATCTTCATGTATTTCATGCATTTGACTTTCAACATTTGACTTACACCTTCCAGATGAATTCGGCTAAGCTTGCTTGCATTTGATAAAAGATCGTAATCAAGCATAGACTGACAATTAATAATGCTTACTACAATAAGTTGTTCAGTGTTGAGTCCACTTATCTTAATGTTTTTACAGTTTAACAGCCAAAGAATCTTAAGATGGTTTTGTTTTGAAAGATCTACATTTATTTCATGTGTTTGACCTTTAACTTCAGACTGATAATGAGTTACATGTATCATAGTCAGTTGTGTTAAAGAGGCCTGTTCTACTAACGAAAACAGTGATGCCATATTACCTGTAAGACCAATCAGACGAATTTCGCTAAGCTTGCTTGCATTTGATGAAAGATCAAAATCAAATACACATTTACACCTACAAATGTGTAACTTTATAAGTTCTTCAGTGTTGAGGCCACTAATTGTAATATTATTACAGTCTGATAGCTTAAGAATCTGAAGATTGTTAAGTTTAAAAAGATCTACTTGTATTTCATGCATTTGACCTTCAACTTCAGACTGACCATAAGTAACATCTATCAAAGTCAGTAGTCTTAAAAAGACCTGTTTTACAAACGAAACTTGTGATGCCATATTACCTGTAAGACCTTCCAGACGAATTTCCCTGAGCTTGCGTGCGTTTGATAAAAGATCAAAATGAAGCACCGACTGAGATTTAATAATGTCCACTTTTTCAAGTTGTTTAGTATTGAAGCAAGTTATTTTAATATTTTTACAGTCTGACAGCACAAGATTCTGAAGATTGTTATGTTTAGAAAGATTTACATGTATTTCATGCGTTTGACCTTCAAACTCAGTCTGATAATGAATTACACCTATCAAAGTCAGTTGTGTTAAAGAGGCCTGTTCTACTAACGAAACAAGTGATGCCATATTACCTGTAAGGCCTTCAAGATGAAGTTCGCTAAGCTTGCTTGCATTTGATAAAAGATCAAAATCAAACACACACAGACCATCAACAATACTTACCTCTTTAAGTTCTTCGGTGTTGAGGCCAATAATTGTTACATTTTGGCAGTCTGACAGCTTAAGAATCTGAAGATGGTTTTGTTTAGAAAGATCTACATGTATTTCTTGCATTTGTTTTGCAACATCAGTCTGGTCCGGAGTTAAACCAATCAAAGTTAGATGTCTTAAAGAGGCCTGTTCTACTAATGAAACCTGTGATGCCATGTTACCTGTTAGACCTTCCAGACGAATTTCGCTGAGCTTGCTTGCATTTGATAAAAGATCAAAATCAAACACACACAGACCGTCAACAATACTTACCTCTGTCAGTTCTTCAGTGTTGAGGCCACTAATTTTAATATTTTTACAGTCTGATATCTTAAGAATCTGAAGATTGTTTAGTTTAGAAAGATCTACATGTATTTCTTGCATTTGACCATCAATTTCAGACTGATCATGAGTTAAACCAATCAAAGTCAGTTGTCTTAAAGAGACAAGTTCTACTAACGAAACTAGTGATGCCATATTACCTGTAAGACCTTCGATATGAATTTCACTAAGCTTGCTTGCATTGCATAAAAGACAAAAAACAAACACACACAGACAATTGATAATGTGAACTTTCTCAAGTTCGTCAGTGTTGAGGCCAATAATTTTAATATTTTTACAGTCCGACAGCTTAAGAATCCGAAGATTTTTTAGTTTCGAAAGATCATTATGTATTTCTTGCATTTGATCTTCATTTTCAGTCTGACAATGAATTACACCTATCAAAGTCAGTTGTGTTAAAGAGGCATGTTCTACTAACGATAGCAGTGATGCCATATTACCTGTAAGACCTTCTAGATGAATTTTGCTTAGCTTGCTTGCATTTGATGAAAGATCAAAATCAAAGACACACAGGACATCAACAATACTTACCTCTTTGAGTTCTTCGGTGTTGAGGCCAATAATTGTAATATTTTTACAGTCTGACATCTTCAGAGTCTGAAGATCGTTTAGTTTAGAAAGATCTACTTGTATTTCCTGCATTTGACCTGCAACTTTAGACTGATCATGAGTTACACCTATCAAAGTCAGATGTCTTAAAGAGGCCTGTTCTACTAACGAAGCCAGTGATGCCATATTACCGGTAAGACCTTCGAGACGAATTTCGCTGAGCTTGCGTGCGTTTGATGAAAGATCAAACTCAAACACACACTTACACTTACTAATGTGTACCTCTTTCAGTTCGTCAGTGTTGAGGCCACTAATTTTTAAATTGTTACAGTCTAATAGCTTAAGAATCTGGAGATTGTTTAGTTTAGAAAGATCTAAATGTATTTCTTGCATTTGATCTTCAACTAAAGGCTGATCATGAGTTACACCTATCAAAGTCAGTTGTGTTAAAGAGGCCTGTTCTACTAACGAAACCAGTGATGCCATATTACCTGTAAGGCCTTCCAGATGAATTTCGCTAAGCTTGCATGCATTTGATGAAATATCAAAATCAAACACACACAAACAATTAATAATGTCAACTTTTTCAAGATTTTCAGTGTTGAGGGCACTTATATTAATATTTGTACAGTCTGATAGCTTAAGAATCTGAAGATTGTTAAGTTTAGAAAGATTAACATTTATTTCATGCTGATCTCCAGATACATGTATCAAAGTAATTTGTCTTAAAGTTCTCTGTTGTAATAATTCCAATGTTTTTGTTTTCACAGATTGGCCACAAAGGTGAAGTTCAATGAGTTTCCTGGCGCTTGATGGAAATTCTAACTCTAAGGCCGGTACACTTGCATAAGAGTAATGATTGCTGTTGTCAATGTATACTTGCTGAAGTTGTTCAGGGAATAATCCTGTAAGTACTATACCAGGATTATTAATAAGTTTAAGCTTTCTAAGATGATTCTGTCTAGACATGTCTATAACACAGCTTTGATGACAAGTTTTCCGAATGCTATTATAAGTCTCAATGTAGAGATCAGTCAGTTTGCTGGCATATGACAATAGATTTAAATCTAAAACATAAGGACTGTCTTTAATGTACACGTCTTCAAGATGTTCAGTAACAAGGTTAGAAATTCTAATATTCATGCAGGAGATAAGCTCAAGTATCTGAAGCTGTTTCTGGCTAGAGAGGTTAATTATACCAGGTTGTAAACTATCTGCAACTTTTACACCACGCAATGTCAATTGTTTAACACACTCTTGCTGTGATAAGAATAAAAATTCTTTATTACTGAAGGAAACATGTTTGATATAAATGTGTTGCAGGTTTTTGCATTTTGTGATGTAGTCCAACACATGTTTACTTGTTGTTTCTTCTAAATTCAGAGAAATCACATCATCTGTGTTGAATCTATTTAGAGATGGAATAGGTACAACATCATTTATGCATAGATCGCTTATACTGATCAATGGCTTATCAAAAGAGCCACATTCTTTGATACATTTTACCATTAGACGTTGTATCTGAATAATCATATCATTCCTGAACGACCTTTTATACCCATGTTTTCTAAGATGTACAATTTGTGCATCCTCATTCATAATACATTATATCCGCTTAGACAAATCACCAATAAGGATGGGAGACAAACCGCAGACCATTTTAATAACATTAGATAACTGTAATATCTCACTAGCAGATTTACATGTAACTAAAAGCTTTTCTATACCCGCCTGTATTTTATCTCGTTTATCTCCAAAACATTGGTTTTCTTTTATGTTCTCATTTGAGGTGACATACAAGGCGGCAAAGAACTCAAGATAAGACATGTGGATAAAAACAAATTGTGTATCTTCCTGTGTTGGGTCAAAGCAGTTGCTTTCATTTAAGATACCAAATTGTAGTAGCTTAGTGATATCATCTACATATAGTCCCTTCTCCAGAAGATGCCGTCGCCCAAATACGTTTTTTATCGAACCGGAAGTCAAAACGTCAAATGCCGTAGCACCCGTTAGGAATAAAATTCGTTTATTGGTTCTAAGTCTAGGATATTTTTGTAAACTTTCAGGCAAAACTATGTTTTTATCTTCCTTTGCATCATTTTGACCATCACGTCCATCATTTCCGTCATTTTTGTGCTCTAACCAATTACACATGATATTCAAAATCTGACAATAAGTTTCACTTACAGACTTTCCAAGTTCCAAACCGGTACAATATAACCACAGTAGTTGTTGCAAAAGCAATGGAGTTTCCTCTACATGATTAATTTGCTTTGTTTTAATAATTTTAATGAATTCTTTATAAGACTTTCCGGGTGAGTTTGTGTTTGAAATATATCGTTCGATGAACAATTTCAATGAGCTACTAGATATACCTAATAACTGTAACTTAAGATCAATCTCTGAATTTTTTAAATTCAGAATTCCTATTGCTGATGGCCTAGATAATGTGATGCATGTTGCGTCTTTAGCAAGGTCTCCGTTTGGTATTCCAAAGCTTACATGTGGTTTACGCACAATGTCTTTTGGAAGTGGTGTCCATTCATCCAAACTATCAGCGATGATAAGACAACGTCCCGAGTCTTGTTGAAATATATTGTCAATCAACTCCGAGTTTAAAGTAAGACCTTTTGTTAATTCTTTAATCATATCAACAGTGACGTCAGACTTAAATGCTGCCATAAATTGTAGTGGGATAAAGAAAAGAAATTCATACTCTCCCACCTGACTAACATCATCACACTCGTTTGCTATATTTATATCATTGGATAACGATTTTTCTGTTTCTTGATCATTTTCATCACGCATTGGTTCATAGGTTCTACTACTTACTGCGTTACACCAGTTTTCTATCATCATTTTGCAGAAAGTACTCTTTCCTGTTCCAACATTACCTAATATATAAATCTTCTTATGTCGCTGTCCTTTCAAATGAAAGATTTCATGGTATCCTTTAACATATCTCTTCTCTAGCTCCTTTGCCCCGTCTTTTTCTATATCCACTGATGATTGATCTTCCTCCATGACTTTTATCTCGGGAGTTACATAAACATCTTTAATTTGAATGCTATCATGTTGTTGCTTCAAAGGTGAAATTGATGTACTCACATAATATTTCTTGTAATGTTTAACAAGTTTAACTTGAAGCTCTGTGAAAAAGATAAAGTATTTCAATATTGTAAGGTGTTCAAAACATTGGCAGTGATTTTTAAGTGTTGTTTGAATAATTATTGACATATTCAGTGTATTTGTCATTGTTTTATTTTAAGGAGGGATTCCTTTAATGCTAAGTATAAGTAAGTGCATACTTTCTTCAATTTTAGTTCTTGATTGTATCATTTATGTCACATCAACGTGAATGTATACAAGCATACCAATATAAGGAAACAGAAAGTAAAAATTACATAGTACACATTGGTGTTTTTGCGTCATAATGCCCAATTAACATAGAACATATATCAATGATTAAGCAATTTTTTGGAATAACATTTTCAGTTGTATAGAAGTAGTATTTTACAAAAACAATCTTGACGTGACAATTTAGACAACATATGGTATTTCATAAGTTATTCACCGTAGCCCCAAAAATTTTATTGCCAAATGTAAGTCAAGTCTAAGAAAAAAGTGAAAAAAGAGTATGATAACAGAGTATGATAACAGAAATATTAAAGTAAGAAATAATTTCGGGCTGCTGGTCTCGCTTTGGCTTACCTGTCCATGAATTTAAATTGTTTGTGTTTTTGGTTAAAACGAACATATGTTTAAAGGTCTTTTTGTGTCGCCTCTACGGAGTAGTGGCGATATACAGGGATCACAGGGATCACTTCTCCGTCGTCTGTCTGCCCGGTCGTCACAAAACTTGTCCGGACTACTCCTCATAAACTACTGGTGCAATGTCATCAAAACTTTACAGGAATGATCAGTTCAAAGACTAGTTGTGCATATAGCGTCAGCATTTACCGGTCCAATGATTTTTATCCGAGTTATTGCCCATTAATAGTTTTTAATTTTTAAAGTTTGTCCGGACTTCTCCTCTTATACCACTATTGCAACTTCACTAAAACTTTACAGGATTGATTTGCCGCTTAAGTCCTTGCGCATATTGCATGAATTTTCTGGTTGAATGATTTTTGGCCGAGTTATGGCCCTTTAATAAAAAGGTGTTTTTTTCTGTGTATAGCCAGATACACAAGAGCTTGTCCGAACTACTTCTAAAAAAACTAATGGTGCAATTCCATCCATATTTTACAGGAATGATCAGTATCAAGTCTAGTTGTGCATATCATCGGTTTTTATGGTTCAATGAATTTTGTCCTCAGAAACTGCTGGTGCAATTCATCAAAATTTTAGGGAAATGATCAATACCCTGTCTAGTTGTGCATCTCATCAACATTTGTCGGTTCATTGATTTTTGTCAGAGTTTTTGCCCTTTCATGATTTTAATTTTGAATTTTATCCGGACGACTCCTGTTATACCACTCATGCAATTTCAATGAAACTTTACAGAATAGATCGATAGCTCAAATTCTTGTGCATGTTACACAAGTTTTTAGGTTGAATGATTTTTTGTCAAGTTATGGCTATCATGTGGCGACACATGTCATCACTGATGGCCCTTGTATTTTACTTCTAGTTTTTCTTTTTCTTTGAGTACACTATTTTATGCAATTTCATAACATATTTGATAACTTTTTAGTCTAGGTTAAGGGATTCTGCAAGCAAAGCAGTCCATAAGGTACTGCGCTTGACTATTTATACTTGCCTTGAAGGTTCTTGTGTAAGGAGCGTGGGTCTAACAAGTATTTGAAGTTTCCAAGCAAAATCTCAAAGGGTATAGGAAATAAATGGACTGGTACATCAAAACTTTAGTCGAAAAAGGCGCATTTTTTATATTGTCTAACAGCAAACACATATAATATTTAAACAAATATTTAAAATAATTTAAAACAAACATCTTTTTTTTCTTTTTTAAATTTAATACATAGGTCTAGTCAAACTTGTTGTTTTGTCCAAATATGAATCATTTCAATAATTTTCAATATTCAAATTTGCATCAAAAATTGTGCTATTTCCAAATTTCATAGTTGTACACCAAAGGACAAGAAAGTAGGTCATTTGATAAAAATCTTGTTCAGCTGATATTAAAGTTCAATTGTACATCCATCTAAAACTGTGCACATCGTCAATATTTCAAAGCCGTATATAAAAGGCCACTTCTTCAAAAGTTAGGTCAGCTTATATCAAAGTTCAATTTTTAATCGGAAACTGTGGACAAAGTCCAAATTTCATTGCTTTAGGACAAATTAAGAGAATTTCATACATCGAAATTTTTTGAGGATCAATGTCAATTAAAAGTAAAGGTCACATCTGATGTTTTTTGGTAGAAAGTCTTGTTTTGTCCAAGTATATAAATCAAATCCGTTTATAAATAAAAAAAATCATGACAATTTAATCATATTCAGTAATTTGACCTTGACAGTCAATGTTATTTAAAACTCAAAGTCAAGGTCAGTTCAACCTTTTAGAATGTCTTGTCCAAAAGGATGTTTTGTCTAAATATGAAGATAATTCGTTTATTAAGACAAATGTTGTTTTTTGTCACAAACATATCTCTCGCACGTATGTACTTTTCGGATGGGACAGCAACATTTTAACCATTTATGTAAAAATAATTTGAAATTATTCCTACCAATGACAGAGTTACAACCCGGACAAATATAATCCGGAAGGTAGTAAGACCTTGACCTTTGACATAGCCACGGTTCTTGCGCGCGACACGCCATCTCATAATATTGAACATTTATGCCAGGTTACTAATATTTGAAATCCAACCAGCTAGTTATAGAGTTATGGTCCGGACATGCTTTGACCGCCTCCGTGGTCGAGGGGTTAGAGTCGATGACTTCTAATCCAGTTACCTCTCTGGCGTGGGTTCGATCCCCGGGAGATGCTTTGGTAGTTTAGCACGGAGGAAGGTAGTCTAGTACTGGTGTAATTCTCCAGGAACGATAGTAAGGAAACTACCCGCCAGTTTGACTGAAATACTGTTGGGTAAAGGCGTAAAATGAAACAAACAAACAAACAAACATGCTGTTTAGAGACCCATTTTTGTCATTTGACCTTAATGTATGACTTTGACATTTGACCTAGCCACACTGTTCTTGCGCGCGACTCGCCATCTCACATTTGTCTCAGGCTATTTGAAATTCTATATGCTAATGATAGTGTTATGGTGCTGACTAATGACAGATTTACAGCCCGGATAAGCATAATCCGGACGTCGAGCTTTCCCCAAGCGGGCTCGACAAAAAAAGGCAATACTTCAAAAATTAGGCAAGACAGAGTTACTGTTTTTATCCACTACACTGCTACTCAATGAGATCTATCTACCTACTAAGATATTTGTTGATACATCTTCTAGTTTCATTGTCCAGGACAAAGTTCAAAGTGTCAACATGAAACAAGGGCCATCAGTGATGACATACGTCGCCTCATGATAGCCATAACTTGGCAACAATCATTCAACCTAAAACCCTGTGCAATATGCATAAGAATTTGAGCTATCTGTAAAGTTTTATTGACATTGCATTAGTGGTATAACTCGAGTAGTCCGGACAAATTTCAAAAATAAAATCATGAAAGGGAAAAACTCTGACAAAAATCAATGAACCAAAACATGTTGTTTAAGATGCATTACTAGACATGGTATTGATTATTCCCCTAAAGTTTTGATGAAATTGCACAAATAGTTTCTGTGCAGTAGCCCAGACAAACTTCAGTGTAGCTGGCAACATAAAAAGCACCTTTTTGTTCAAGGGCAATAACTCAGCCAAAAATCATTCAAGTATTCTGCACAAGTACTTGACCTACCAATCAATCCTGTAAAGTTTCATTGAAATTGCATTAATTGTATATGAGGATTAGTCCGGACAAACTTTATTAACACCCTTTTCATTCAAGGGCCATAACTGGCCAAAAAACATTCAAGGAGAACACATGTGCAGCATGCGCAAGTACTTGACCTACCAATCAATCCTGTATAGTTTCATTGAATTCGCATTAGTGGTATTAGAGAAGTACTCCGGACAGACTTTAAAGAATAAAAATAATCAAGGGGCCATATCTTTGACGAAATTCATTGAATCATAAACATCCGATGATATGCACAACTAGACATGGTACTGGTCATTCATCATTGTAAAGTTTGGATGAAATTGCACCAAACGTTTTTAAGAAATTGTCCGGACAAGCTTTTGTGTATCTAGCAACACACAAAAACACCTTTTTTATTTAAGGGCCATTACTCGACCAACAATCATTCAACAACAAACCGTGCAATATGCGCATGGACTTGAGAAACAAATCGATCCTGTAAAGTTCCATTGAAATTGCCTAAGTGGTATAAGAGAAGTAGTACGGACACATTTTAAAATAACTAGAAATGTGTCCATAGGACACGGGTGTCCCCACACTCCACTGTTTTGTAAATCTTTTGACTCTAAGTCAAATATTATTATGGTCTACATGTTCCTCAAGTATAAACTAAAAATGATTTACTAAGTTAATGTCTAGAACTTTACAAATACTGAATAAATCCACAAGCAAACCCCGAGGTGCATAAGTACATGCGCTGACCAACATTGTTGTAAACACTCAGGCCTACAGGTCAGATAAGTTTTGACTTATGCATGGACAAGTTGATAATTGCAAATTTATAGTAAGTCAGGGGCAATAACTCTAACACAACTGAATAAAAAATCAAATGAGAAAACCCAAGGTGCATAGCTTCGCAGTGATGTTTATCACTATTTCTGTAAAGTTGACTAATTCTTACACAAGCACTAGAAGACCACATAACACAACATAATGGAACGTTCTTACTAAATCAAGGACAATAACTCTAGAAATACTTGATAAATCCACAAGCAAAACCCCAGGTACACAACTACTCATGCTGATAACATTCCTGTTAGGTTTCATGACTCTAGATTAAACCCTTTTTGAGCTACGTGCAACACAAGTTGAAAACTGCAAATAATAAGTCAAGGGCAATAACTCTACAATTAATAAAACATCTACCCTGAGATACCCAGATAACTTCACATGCTGAGCAACATTCCTGTAAAGTTTTTTTTTAACTTTAGGCCAATTACATTTTGAGCTACGTGCGACAAAAGTTGAAAATTGCAAATTTTTACTAACTCAATAAATTCACCCGAAAATACCCAGGTGCACAACTTCACATGCTAAGAAACATTCCTTAGTATTATTTTCGTAAAGTATTCTGACACAAAATGAGAATGGACGGACGGACATACGAGTGGATGGATGGATGGACGGACAAGGGTAAATCTAAATGTCCTCACCCCCTAAAGTGGGGGCACAAAAATGGTAAAGGGTCATAACTCGGTCAAAAAATATTTAACCGGAAAATGCTGACAATATGCACAACTAGACTTGGTACAGATCATTCCTGTTAAAAATGAATGGAATTGCACCAGTAGTTTATGAGAAGTAGTCCGGACAAGTTTGTGATGGACGGACAGACGGACAGACAGACAGAAGGACAGACAGACGAGGATGAAGTCATGCCTTACTGTCGCCACTACTCCGTAGAGGCGACACAACAATTCAATAACTTCAAAATTAGGCAAGGCAGAGTTACAGTTCTTATGCACTTCACTTTTACTTAATAAGATCGTTTTAACCTCTTTTTAGTTTAAGAGTTATGTCCCGAAAATATGCGGACGGACGGACATGGGACAGACGAATAAAGCGACTGTATGCTCTCTTTTCTGGAAACATAGTGACTTGACAGGTGATATGCTCTTGTGAATTCTTTTGGAATGTCATTCCTATTTGATGAAGTTAAAAACTTTCAATTTAGCAATAAAAGGTCATCAAATATATATAAATGCAAGACCTTGACCTTAAACGCAGTGACCCTAAACTGCACCCGATCTAAGAGAACAAATGCCCCCTTTCTCGAATCAAATGTTGAAGCCTTACCAAGCTTTGGTCTAGAAAAGGGTTCTGTCAATAAATAAAGGTTGTATTGGTAAAAGTGTAAAAATATATTATTGACAAATGTGATCTTGACAAAAATAACCCCTTAATCCATTTTTAGGAAATAGGAGCATCCTAGACATGCTCCTGTTAAATATGACAGACATCACTTTATAAATAAAGGCTGTTTACGCAAAAGCGTAAATAAGTAGTCAGTTACCTAGACCTTGACTCCAGTTGTCACAAATTCTATCTTAAGTTAGAGTATCATTTATGGTATCCACATACGAAATATGGAAGATATGATTAAGTAAATGAAGTTGTTATGGGAAATTTAAGATAAATCCAACTTGCAAGAATAGGCCATGGCCCCTTAATCTATTGTTACGGAAGTATGTTGTTCTCTTTTGTTCTGTGTTCTGTTCACTGTTACATGGCCTTAAAATCTAATTTAGTTGCTCGTACAGACAGACGGAATGATAAATTTATTTTACAATGTACCTTGGGGCACAAAAAGTACAAACATATTTAAAACAATTCTTGAAAATTAATGCATGTATATTTTCTCAAGTTTACACGAGAAGCAGAAAAATAAGGTCTATATTCTCTTCTTTGTGTGTTATCTGCCCTTAAATTCAGTAAAATTACCCAAATCAATAGCAGATGACTCAATATAACAAGATCAGCAACTCCTAACTATTTTACGCTTAAAATGTTTCTGTTATCATGTTCTTAGATCATGCAATATTCACATAAAACTTTTTTATAAAGTTTTCATCCCTATCTAACTTTTATATTTAAGATATTTTACACATTAAAATTTCTTTTTAAATTTTTAGATATTAAAATGCTGTTTGTGCTGACAAAGACTTCAAAAGAAGAATTACAATTGTTATATATGTCACATGATGGAAAAATATGCAGTTCCCAAAAAACGATTAACATTAATTTTGTTGGAAATAAACTTGGTTACCTTGTTTCTCTTTGACGTAATCTAAACGTCTCTTGTATATATGACGTATACCGTCTAGTTCTCTAACTTTGCCTTCTAATGTTGTCACTCGCTGAAAGCAATGTAACATAATAATGATATTTTCTATATTATAACACAAAAGACGATATCATAAAAAATCAGTAAAGAGCCAAATGTTGATTGTACATTTTTTACAAAATTATTGATATCATATGTCATACAAAATGTATTTAAAATCAAATGAAGTCATGTCTGTCTTGACTCCAATTATAACTAGAAAGGTTTTTGTTACAAAAACATATGTCTCCCAAAAATATGGATGGTCACTCATGTGAAGTTTCATTGAACTCCTACCAGTAGCTTGACCTATGAAAGCCGGGCACAAATTTTCTATTTATAACTCTAACGGCCATTTTATGCAGCGAAGCGGAACATGCGGTGATGTGCACAACAAAGGACGGTACTCCTGTAAAGTTTAGTTGAAATCCTACAAGAAGTTTGACCTGTGAGGCCGGACAAGATTTTTCTATTTTTAGCTCTGGCGGCCATTTTGTTAAGCGAAGCGGAACGCGCCGGTGATATACACAACTATGGATGGTACTGATCACTCCTGTAAAGTTTAGTTGAAATCCCACTCGTAGTTTAGCCTGTGAAAACTGGACAAGATTTTTCTATTTTTAGCTCTTGCGGCCATATGTGCAGCAAAGCGGAACGTGTCAGTGATGTGCACAACTAAATATGGTACTGATCACTCCTGTTAAGTTTGGTTGAAATCCAACCAACAGTTTAACTTGTGAAGGGCGGACAAGATTTTTCTATTTTTAGCTCTGGCAGCCATTTTGTGCAGTGAAGCGGAACATGCCGGACAAGATTTTCTATTTTTAGCTCTGGCGGCCATTTTGTGCAGCGAAGCGGAACATGTCCGTGATGTGCACAACTAGAGATGGTAGTGATCACTCCTGTAATGTTTGTGTGAAATCCCACCAGTAGTTTGACCTGTGAAGGGCGGACAAGCTAAATGCGGACTGACGGACAACTGGAAGTTCTAACGGGACAGTAATATTGTGGCTACTCTATTGTTCTCTCTATTGTTTTTTTAGCCACACAAAAGAAAATAGCCACATAAAAGCATCATTACGTAATAAATGACATCAAAGAGAAAGAACAGTTATCTATTGTCCATTTAGCCACACCATTACTGTCCCGTGACACCAACGGACGGACAGACGGACGAACAAACGGCGAAGGCAAAAACAATATGTCTCCCAAAAAATTTGGGAGACATAATAATCATTTGTACAAGGTTTTAAAAAGTATGTAATAAATCAGTCAATACTACATTATGAAATAAAAACATTTAATTTGACTTCATAAATAAATAACACTTCTATCTATTCGTCGTTCATTTAACTGTTCCCTTTACAGATACTTTCGGTACATTAAGTTTAAAAAGTTTCTTGGCTAAAGAAACATCATTTATCAGATATCAAACAATGTCATGATCTCGCCGGGTTTGCTGTATCCGGGTTTTAGCTTGACCTATGAAAGCCGGACACAAGTCTTTTTTCGACAATGAAAATATACCTGTTTAAGGTATATCAAAAATGATATCAAACTAATTCAAGAAAAGAGCAGGCATGGTGATATTTATTCTTTGTAAATTTGGTTACAATTGTGTAAAAGGAAATGCTATCGCCCAGACTGAAAAAAGTAAACGCAAGAACAAATATGAAGAGACAGACATCTGTTGATCACAAACACTCACTTTGACAACGGGCAGATAATAAAAAATACGATAGAAATGTATAATTTAAGTGAGAACATAACAAAATGGTATACTTCTTTCACAGAGGAAACATCTGATTCAATTTGTCTGAATCTTTCAGAGATGTCTGTTCTTAATTTCTCCATTCTTTCAGGTACTTGAGTTTCTAGTTTCTTAACTCTTTCGTATAGACTTTTGCTGTGTTCGTTGAATTCCTTCACTGCATCGTTTTGACATTTTTCTATGCTTTCCTTGGCTATTGTTGTGTCTTGGTCAACAACATATCTAACTTCTTTTTTTCCATCTTCAATCATTTGTTTAAGCTCACCCGATTTTTGGCTTACAAACAACAATACTTCTTTACATACATCTACCTCATTGATGGTTGTGATTATAAATTTGCTTTCCTTCAACTGTCAACAAACATAGATAACAAGCAATCAAAGTATTTCAAGCAATAAAAAAATCCCCTACCGGTTAGAACAACAACAACAGTCTGAAGCATTCCGTTATGCCATTAAGGAAGACAAGAATGAAGTTCTTAGTTTGTTTGCATCATAGTAATGTGTTAAGTTTCTCTGCCTAGTAAGAATAACAGCAAATCAAAAGATCCAATTTTCTGTATTTATTATTTCAATTTTTCTCTAACTTAAGTTTATTTGTTAACAAAGTTTAAAAGTGATGCAAGGAAACAGTTTTTAGGGGCAGACATATGGACTGACAATCTGACATACACTCTAATGATAAATGTTTTAACATGCCTGGTTTCTACAAGAATATAACAATTTTAAAAGCAAAACAAAAGAGGAGATAACTTTTGAAATAAACATGCTAGACTTATAAACATTGCCATACATGATGTGAGAATTGACAAAGAACAACTATCTTAAGTTTAAAGTGTTGATACCATATATAGTAACAAAGAAGAAAATTAAAAAGATAATAACAATTATCAAACTAGAGCTATCACTAAAGATAATTAATACCCCCACCATCAACCTAAATTAAACGAAGTATCAACTGTATACAAAGAATTATTTCAATAAATAGCAATCCCAACCAGAATCTTCATATAACTAGCTATAAACAAAGTTTGATTACAATATCTCAGTTCTAACTCTAGTTATTGTCCGGAAACCATTTTTCTAATTTTAAGTAATAGTGACCTTGACCTTATCTCACCCCAGGGGGGTCTAAATGCAAAACCAACTAGAGTCTTCATATAAGCTTGGTATACACCAGGTTTGATTACAATATCTCATTCCTTACTCTAGCTATTGTCCGGAAACCATAAAGGAGACAGACGGACGAACGGACGAACCGAACAACAAGCTGACTCCTATATACCCCCAAACTTCGTTTCGGAGGGTATAATCACATTTGATGTAGGTGTTAATAATGAACATATGTTTTAAATTTGAAGTAAATCCAAGAAGAAAAAAGAAAGTTAAAGATTGAATAAGGAACATTCAAAGTTTAAGGAGGAGATAATTCTTGAAACATGGGCGCTAGATTTATAAACTTTGTCCTATTATTATCATGTGGGACTTCTCTCTTCCCCTCGGTTCATGTACGTCGTTGAATAGACACAGGGCATCGGCAGAAGATTTGAAGACTGGGGACGACTAAAAAGATCGAAAATTGTGCTGCGGATCAGCTGCCGATGTCCGGATTAAAGCCGATAGGAGTGGCCCTACGAAGTAGGTTTTGGGCAGACGAAGATGGTTTGCTAGGGTGCGTGAGCCCCTAGCACAGTTAGACTGCTTGTACAGCAACTTTGAACTCGCAAGTATTAACCTAAATTATGTCACACTTGCAGTCATGATAGTTATCATTTGTGTTTCAATCCCTCAATAAATGATGACTAAATGGTCCGAATACACATTTTCATATTTTTATCTGAACTTTAACTCCAATGTGAGACATTGGCCTTGGCCACAATCACTTGAATTTTGCACGTTACATTCCGCCTTACAATGGTAAACATTTGTTATACTGAAGTTATACTGAAATCCCTCTATGCATGTAGAGGGTTTGCTCTGGACAAGCGTTTTCCAATGACCTCTAAGTGTGACCTTGACCCTTGACCTAGAGACCTTGTTCATGCGCATGACACTGCTTCTCATAGTGGTGAACATTTCTATGAAGTTTCATTAGAATCCCTCCAAGTATGTACGGGATATGCTCTTGACAAAATCACTATAACCTATCATATTTAGTGACCTTGACCTTGCATATATTAAACTAAATTACATGTTTCACACCCGTAGTCATGATAATGACCACTTGTGTTTCAATCCCTCAAAAAATGATGACTTTTATCTGAACTTTGACCCCTATGTCTGACATTGACTTTTGCCGCAGGGACCTAAGTTTTACATGCAACGACAAGTTATATTGAAATCCCTCTATGCATGTAGGAATTTTACTTTCAATGACCTTAAAATGTGACCTTGACTTTTGCAATTGAGACCTGGCTCATGCGCGCAACACAGCTTCTTAAAGTGATCAACATTTCTATGAAGTTTCATTAAACATTTATTTTTTTATTTAAAATCATCATTGTATACATGGTGTGAATCATAATGTTCTTATAATGTGCTCAAATTGTTTCATTTATATGCTTGCTAAGCTCACGTCTATCTCTTGCTAAAGTTCATGTACTCTAATCATTGCAAAAATATCTCTGAAAAACAAATATTTCTCTTGACCTTTCCACTTATTCCCAGGCAGCTATTGATTCTTTTTATAAAAAAATGCATAACATGTACACATGTTTAAAAGACATTCCGATATGACTTGTTTTCCATTAGACAAGAAGTGTTTACTGTATGTACGTAATGAAAAACAATGCCCCCCTAGGCGGGGTCAATTTTGACCCTAAGGCTATAAATTGAAATTTCTTGATAAACTAGAAATGTGTCCATAGGACACGGATGCCCCCACACGCCACTGTTCTGTCAATCTTATGACTCTAGGTCAAATATTTTTTGGACTACATGTGCCACAAGTTGAAAACTAAAAGTCAACAAAGGGCCATAATGTGAATTTGGTGGTGAAGGTCATAGTTCACACAGCCTAAATTTCACGACTACATCAAAGGACAACACAGAGAGACACTTTGTTAAAATCTAGGTCAGCTGATATCACAGTTCACTTTACATTTTAATCTGTGCACATGGTTCAAATTTCATAGCTGTACATCAAAAGACAAGAAAGTAAGAAAGTAGGTCACATCATCAAAATCTAGGTCACCTCGTATCAAAGTTCAATTTTACAATTAAAACTGTGCACATGGTCAAAATTCCATTGCTGTACATCAAAAGACAAGAAAGTAGGTTACTGTCCCCTTGGGCAAGGCAAAATTTTGACCCAAGGGTTTAATTCAAAACAATCTTGATACAGGTCTACCAAACAACATTTTAAGTCAAATATCTAAGCTGTAGCTTTCTCCAATTCAGAAAACATTTGTTTTATTTTCTGTTTTTACTATGTGTACATAATGAGAATCACTGCCCCCTGGCAGGGCCAATTTTGACACCAGGGGAAAAATTTGAACAACTTTGGTAGAGGACCTATAGATAATATTATATAGCAAACATAAAAGCTCTATGCCTTGTACCTTCAGACAAAAATATTTTTTATTTTTTTTTACTATATGTACATAATGAAAATCAATGACCCCCGGGGCGGAACCAATTTTGACCCCAGGGCTATAATTTGAACAATCTTGGTAGAAGTTCACTTCGCAAAGTCTCATGCCATATATATTTAAACTCTAGCCTTTGTCAATTCAGAGAAGAAGATTTTTCAAGTTTTTACATATACATAAAAGGAAAACTATCGCCTCTGGGACAGGGCAATTTTAACACTAGGGGCATAATTAAAACAACTTTATAAGAGGACCCATAGATGATATTATATACCAAATATCAAAGCTTTGTACCTTCAGACAAGAAGATTTTTAATTTTTTACTATATGTACATAGTGAAAATCAATGACCCCTGGGGATGGGGCCAATTTTGACCCCAGGGCTATAATTTGTACAATCTTGCTAGAGGTTCACTTCACAATGTTCCATGCAAAATATCTTAACTCTAGCCTTTGTAAATTTAGAGAAGATGGTTTTTTAAGTTTTTACTATATACATATAAGGAAAACCTATGGCCCCCGGGGCCGGCTAATTTTGACACTAGAGGCAAAATTTGAACAACTTTGGTAGAGTACCTATAGATGATATCATTTGCTCTAAGCCTTGTATCTTCAGACAAGAATTTTTTTTAATTTTTTACTATATGTATATATTGAAAATCAATGACCCCGGGACGGGGGCAATTTTGACCACAGGGCTATAAATTCTAGCATTTGTCAATTGCTAGAATAATTTTTAAAGTTTTTACTGTAAGTTTTTACTTTATGTACATATAGTGAAAATCAATGACCCCCGGGGCGGGGCTGATTTTGACCCCAGGGCTATAATTTGACAATCATGGTAGAGGTCCACCAGACAATGCCTTATGCAAAATATTTAAGCTCTAGGCCTTTTGGGTCTTTACAAGAAGATTTTTTTTAATTTATTCCTATAATTCCTTTTGGTTGCCATGGCAACCAGATTTCTGCATGGAATGAAATTCTTTGAACAACTCTGAAAGCCCTTCACCCAGGGATCAATCCTGCCAAGTTTGGTTGAAATTGGACTTGTGGTTTTTCACAAGAAGATGTTTTAAGTTCACTATATAATCTATATAACACACAAACACACACATACACACAGGTGAATCGCTATATGCCACCGCATCGCAGATACTGCGGTGGCATAAAAATGAAAATAAAACTTGCTTCTAGATTCTAGTGTACTTTGAACACACAAAAAGTAAACAACATTGTAGAAACAACTGTACAGTACAGTATAAATACAGACAGGAATTTCAACGAGAGAAATATCAACGTATTTTTCTTGTAGAAAAATGCTACTTTTTTATCCAGCAAGTGTATTAAAGACATTAATACACGTCATTGTTGTGCCAGAAGGTGATAATCGGCCCTGAAATGAATAATGACCTCGGGCTGAAGCCCTCGGAGCCATTTTTCATTTTGCGGAATGATTATCACCTGCCGGCCCTACTCTGCCGTATATTAATCTCTTTCTATACATAATAAAAATCAATGCCCCTTGGGCGGGATCAATTTAGACACAAGGGCTATAATTTGAACGAACAATCTTGTAAGAGGTCCCACATACAATGCTTTATGCAAAATATGTAAGCTCTAGGCCTTGTGGGCCTTAGAAGAAGATTTCCATAATTGCTTTCTTATTATTGCTTTTGGTTGCCATGACAACCCGAAATTCCTGCTTTGAATAACTTTGGGAGCGTTCCACCCAAGGTTTGGTTGAATTGAGACTAACCGTGTTTTAGAGGAAGATTTTTTTTCTTTAAGTTCACTATATAATCTATAGAACACACAAACGCACACAGGTGAATCCTTAAAAGCCACTGAATCGCAGATGCTGCAATGGCATAAAAAGAAAAGAATGTAAACCTTTATTGTATACAAAGTGTTTTAAATTTTGAAGAACACAAATACATTAATTTATATCTAAATGAATTATCTAATCCGTTCACTAAAGAAAGAACATCTGAACATATGATGGGAAAAAATTATTCACCTGTTTAAGTTTGCGGACAGCTTCCTGAGCTTCAGGTCTTCCTCTGAGTTCTTTTGGGTCTTCAAGAATTCCAACGATATCATCTATACATTTAGCCACTTCCCCTTCTTCCATTTCCATGGTATTGGAATGAAATAACTTGTTTCTTCTTTCGCGTACCTATAAGTTTTGTGAAGAGTCATTCTTGTGGTGTTAAAAAATTAGATAGAATAACAATTATACATTTGATGAATTCAATTTTAATATACGTTGTATTTAGATAAAAACCACAGAAAATTAACCAAGACGAGACTCTGCTAATGTTGTATTGAAAAATTTATTTTGCCTATTATTTAAATCTTCAGTTCTTTTAATATGTTATATGATTTTGTAAATATACAGGCTACTTGAATTCTAGAAATACAAAATCAGAATGTCTTATATATTTATACAGTTTTCATATATATTATACAAACAATATGATTTTCAACACACTTACTAACCTGGATAAAAATATTTTTTCCAGCCATGGAGCATGCTAAATGAGAATGAAGACTGGTGTTATTAATAAAGACATGGAGTAATCCAGATATGTCTATATCAGCTGCCTTTGTCGTGTCTGAATATCCAGGTGCATTTATGAAACATTTGGCGACCTCCCATGGTTCTGTACACCACTTTTGTATATCTGTATTTGCCCAGTTTGGTGTTGGTGGGGTGGATCCATGGCTTTTTAATATTTCTTCCATAATGAAATCACATACTTTAAGACGACATTTTTTCTTCTTCAAGTGCAAACAATTACACTTACGCTGACCCCAGTAGCATTCATAATTACCTGCAAAATTTGTTATGCATGCGTGTATTGGTCGCAAACGCTCAACAATGCATTGATTACAGCTGGTACCTGGTGTGCAATTAATAGAACTTAATATTCTGCTTTGTTCTTGCTTAACAATATCATCAGCAAAATCGTCTAGACCTTGTTTTAGGTACTTATATGCCAATCCACCTTTCACCCAGTTTCTGTACTTCTCTTTCTCTATCTCACTCTGGTGACTCATTGCTAGGATATGTCACTTTACCAGCCTGTTATCTAACTTTCGTTTCCGATGTTCTCTGGCAAAATAAGCAGGGAAATTAACAGTTGAAAATTTATTGAACAGGGCATTCTATAAAGACATTTACTATAGAGTCTACTTTTTTGTAAAGGAAGAAAAATTTAAAGTAGCAAACAGAACTTTTTGAACTTATTATATATTGCTTTTTTATAGAGAATCATAAATGAAAACAATCGGACAATGTTGATACTTATATCGCTCACCTGATAATTACTCTTAATGACATGGTAACTATGAATAAAAAGCAGATATAAGGTCTAAATATTAAACTGATATTACAAATGAATCTTCAATGTAAATAGGCACATGTATATAGGTTACTGCTTCCTATTGTCTAGGAAAGTCAATAGTTACCATAGAAGTCACGTGTTGCTATACAAAATCAATGGTTGCTATGGATGTTAGTGGTTGCTATGAAAATTAAAAGTAGGTTCACTTATTGCTATTGAAAATCAATGCCTGCTATAGTTATTTTGAAAGGTATTGATTGTTAAGTACAAAGACAATGCTTGCTATAGAAGTCACTGGTTGCTTTAAAAATTAAATAGTTCCTCTGAAATACAATTTTTTATGGCAAGTAAATGGTAGTTATTGAAGCAAACTGTGTGGGTACTATGTAAGTCACTGGTAATTTTAGACGTCAATGGTTCCTTTTGAATCAACTGATTGCTAAGAAAAGTCAATGGTTGTGGAAGTCTCAGATTGCGTAGAAAAACAAAAGCTTACTATGCAATAGAATAGAGAGAGAAAAAATCCCTAATAAATCCAAAAACAGTGAAATTGAAAATGTTGTTGTAGACTCGGTTTGACTGAGCCATAATTCATGGACAGTACTGGAAAGTGCTACTGTCCACGTCCCCTAGAAACGGCTTAAGCAGTATTCAACATCTAAATATTTGATGTAAATATTAAGTTCAGAATCATCCGAAGATGTGTTCATACGGTGATGAACATGGAACCTTCAATGTGGCACGTTTTTGCCATTCCATGAAAAGCGGCGTATAGCCCCAAGGTAAAACAAGATTGCATTTGTGAAAAAATGATTTGCCATCGCATTAATACAGCACTAAAAATTAGAGGAACAGAAGTAGATTTTTTCCCCTATACTATTGAAATTTGCCATAATATAGGAGTGTCTTGTGGCTTTGTGGGCCAAGATCATATTTCAACATTTCAATTGAAAAACAATGTGTTGATGTGTACAAAGACCATAGTATAATAATTGCTTCAAAATGAATGCATTCTCACTAAAGATTTTTTTTTCTGTATTACATAGCTGTATTAAACTTTGTATACAATTACAGTTATTTTTCTTAAATAAACTGCTAAATTAACTTTTTAAATTAAGCATTATTTAACATCATCATTATAGACATGGTATGCGTCACAATGTCCTTATAATGTGCACATCACTGCAAAGCAAACATCCTTCTTGCAAGAGTTCATGACCTCAAATCATTAAAAGAAAAAAATATCTCTTCCTAGAGGTAATGACCTCTAGAAAAAGTCCCAGCTATTGAATCTTGTTTTAGAAAAATTGCATAACATGTACACATTAACAAGAGGGCCATGTGACTCTAAAAAAAATCAAATTTTGGTTGCAGGAAAATTCATGTTGCTATGGAATCATGTTTGTTGGAAAATTTTGGTTGCTAAAATAAATTTTCCAAGGAAATTTAAAAAATTACAAATTTTGGTTTCCATTTGCTATTTTGCGTCAATGGTTGCCATAGAAAGGCACTTATTGCTATTGTAAGTCAACGGTTGCTATGGAAAGTCAATGGTGGCAGGCCTCGACATTTGCGGTGGTCCATTGGTCCGAGACCACCTGATTTTGGCAAGGACCACCTAATTTTACAGGCAACTGGTCCGTTAGACCACTTGAATTTTCCAAATGGTGCAGGGCTCATCCAAGAGAATGGTTATTTGGTCGAAAAACGTGTTCTATAATTGTTGATTAAAACCATTTCTCCGATGTACAGGTATATGTTCATTCATCTCATTAGTTCAAAAAGATAACTTTTTATTAACTCGCTAACAGTGAAGTATAAAAAGTAGAAAATCATTTTAATTATTAAAGTATAAAATACATTCAAATGTCTCTAGTACTGCATTGAATTTATAACACTGTATCACTATGTGATATCGGATAAACACATGAATAATGGTGGAAACAAAGGCAAAGAAAAAATTAAATATCTAGTAATCTTTGGCTCCTTTTTTTTAACGATCAGAGATCCATATTTTTTTTATTTTAAGTACTTTAAAAGGTTATAAATACTTTGTCAAAAATAAATTCATTTCAACAAACAAGGATGTATGATAAATCTGTGAGGAAGATAAGCTCAATTATAATGTAGGAATTTTTCTGTTTATCATTAATATTTTATTTTTTTCAAAGGCAAGAATATAATAACTTAATAGTTTAATTAAAAATGTTAATCTATAAAAAGCAATTATTATTCTTATAAGATGTACCAGGAAACAGCAATGAGTGTTTATATAACAGTAAGGAAATAAGTCATTCACAAATGGTTTCACTATTCCCTAACTTGAGTTGCGGAAGAAGTCACTTAACCGAAGTATGAGTACTGTCATGTATTTTTCAATGAGATAATAAATACTAAATAGGATTACAATGACTTACTATCTGATTAGATTGAAATAGGAAAAATACATGTTTTCTTCAGTTGTTATAAATCAAATAATAAATATGTCTCTGTCACCAATTTTAAGTGTAGTTCTCCTAAATGTGAAGTTTCCTTAAAAACAAATGAGTAAAAAAAAGATGGACCACCTGTGTTCAGAAAGGACCACCTGAATTTTGGATCCAGTGGTCCGGCATACCACCTGCTGAAAAAGTTAGTGTCGAGACCTGGGTGGATATGAAAAATCATTGGGTGCTCAAGAAGTTGATAGTTGCTATGGAAAGTTGATGGTTACTATGTGAGTCCCTGGTTTCTATGGGAAGTTACTGGTTTCTATGTATATGTTATTATTTCATGCTTTCCAGTGTTTTATTGTAATATATCAGATGATTATATTCTGATAAACCACTAGTGAAATTTATAAAATATAATTTTCACTGTAGCCGGACTATATCTGAATGCGGATGAAAAGAAAATCATAACTAAATGGAATAACAGACAGAAATAAATGCCAACATGCGTAAATTTTGCTTCTTTAGGAAAAGAAAGTCGATGTCATCATGCATCATGTTAAAAATGTAACAAAATTAGAGAAATTTAACAGACCTATATTTCAAAATTGATGATGTGACGTCATGATATGATGACGTCACAAAGGCGAATGCATGACGTTACGCGGCAAAATCAGTAAAAAATACTTAAAATGACTTAAAAAGCATGAAATAAAAAGAAAATTTATTTGTTTTACATATTAGATTGAAATATATTTCATTCGTGAACACCAGCTATCATATTTTCACTCGTGGCTACGCCACTCGTGAAAATATTGCATCTGGTGTTCACTCAGTGAAATTATATTTCAATCTTACATGCAAAACAAACAAATATCCTCTATGTGTTCATCCGTGCTGTTCTACAGAAATAAGAAACTTCGACGGGAGCGATAGCGACCGAAGAATGTTTCTAATTTCTGTAGAACAGCTACGGATGAATACTAACATATTTAGTGTCAAACTTTATTTGGCCTCATTAATATTCACCTTATTACGTCACTACCAGTCCGCTTTATTAAACAATTACCTGAATGGTGAGTATAAATATGCATGATTTACGTCACTACGCATGAAGTTGCGTTTCAGTTGGGAATATGGAGGACGGCGTTTTCATTTGCTCGATACGGAAACATTTGTTTTCAACAAACATTTTAATGAGTTAGACAATTGATACTCAGTAGCTAATATCTGATATGAGTTATAATATACATGAATACACTTAACACGAGGTCACGAAACGTATCTTCCAAAAATATTAAGTACTTTCACTTTCTGTCTACCGAAAAAGAAGGAAGTGAATAGACACACGTGACTTTCCTCTTACAAAATTAATTTAAACATTTCCTACATTCGTAACAAAAAATATGAATTGACTTTTTGTATTGGTTTTTACTTTTACACGTGCAGTATCTTTTTCGCCAAGACGTGGGTTTAAATCTGAACTGCCCTTTATCCATGTTATCAATAAATGCAAAATTAATGTAGGTTGATCTTTTGACATCATTTTTTATTAATTAATAATCAAAAGCGGTCCACGAAAGCGCTTATGCAAATTTATGCAAATGACTTTTTTTAAAAAACGCGGTTCTATGAAGCACTATGAAAAATAGAAGTCGACTATGGACGGTATTCGATATAGTATGGACTTTTGTTCTTCTATGACAATTAACGCACAGATTTTTTTAAGAAATACAGCGTTTTCATTGGTGACAAATAAAGTTGGACACTTAGTCTATGGTTGCCTTGGAAAGTCAATTGTTGCTACAGTGTATGTATGAGTATAGTTGCTACCATACATTTAAACAAAATTTAGACTTTGAACCATATTTAGATTACATTGATAAATATCAATTCAGAAAGGCTGTAGTGGTTTTTTAGAACATCTTCACATGAACTTATGATTGAAAAGGGGCGGTATCTGAATTTATCACGAGAAGAGAGTCAAAAACCACAGGTGCTCGTCTTGTGCCAGTCTTGGTGTCCATACAACCCCCACCCCCCCCCCCCCAACACAAAAAAAATATTTTTTTTTAAAAAGCCCCAAAACAACGTTTCTGTGATAAATAAAAGAAAAACATTTCACAATATTTTTCCTATATACATTGTACTTATACCACGAAGAGGTCACCTAGTCGCCGTAACGCTAGGACACGCTGTGGAACAACCACAATGTCGAGTTCTGTAACAAAACAAGCTATTTTGCTACTCTTTACACATCATGCAATTAGAAAATTGTTAACATTCTTCTTCTACCTTACATACAATTTTAAATAACCTACATTCAAAGTCGGTCACTCTCTTGCAAAACAACAGTGGTTATCGGCCATTTTGTCGAAAACGAAAGTACAAATCCTACACCGAATTGTTCCGCTGTCCTGGTCCCCTACGACTACTTTCGCTGAACAATCCCCTGAACAATAGACAACAGTAACCAATCAATTGATGGTTGCCTATGGAACGCCGTGAATGTCTAATGTTATCAATATTTTTGTTATCTTGTGATACGATGATATTATTTTGTCGTTTGAGCGTGTTAACATGTGCAATTTACATCATGTCTTGTCAAAGGAACATGCTGACTTGTACAAACAGCATGCTAACTTGTCAAATTATTATGATGACATGTGCAAACGACATGCGAACTTGTCAAGGTATCGTGGTGACTTGTGCAAGCGAGATGTAAACTTGTCAAATTATAATGATGACTTGTGCAAATGACATGGTAACTTGTCAAAATGTAATGATGACTTGTGCAAACGACATGTTAACTTGTCGAATTATTGTTATGACATGTGCAAACAGCATGTTAACTTGTCAAAATGTCATGTGCAAACGCCATGCTAACTTGTCAAATTATAGTGATGGCTTGTGCAAACGACAAGTTAACTTGTCGAATTATCGTGATGACATGTGCAAACAGCATGATAACTTGTCAAAGAATCATGATGACTTGTGCAAACAGCATGTTAACATGTCAAATTACCATGATGACTTGTGAAGACAACATGTGAACTTGTCAAAGAATCGTGATGACTTGTGTAAATGACATGTTATCTTGTATCATGCTGACATGTCAAAACGTACTGTTAACTTGTCAAAGTATTATGATAACTTGTGCAAATGCCATGCTAACATGTCAAAATTTCATGATGACAATTGCAAACAGTATGTTAACTTGTAAAATCATCGTGATAACATGTGCAAACAACATGCTAACTTGTCCAAGTATAATGATGAATTGTGCAAACGACAAGTTAACTTGTCAAATTATAATGATGACTTGTGAAAGCGACATGTTAACTTGTCAAAATTTCATGATGACATGTGCAAACAGCATGTTAACTTGTCAAGGTATCGTGACGACTTGTGCAAACTCCATTCTAACTTGTCAATGTATCATGATGACTTGTGAAAATGCCATGTTAACTTGTCAAATTATCATGATGACTTGTGCAAACAACATGTTAATTTGTCAAAGAATCGTGATGACTTGTGCAAAACACATGTTAACTTGTTAATGTATTATGAGCATGTCATCACGATAATTCGACAAGTTAACATTCTGTTTGCACATGTCATCATGAAATTTTGACAAGTTAACATGTCGTTTGCACAAGTCATCATGATATTTTGACAAGTTAACATGTCGTTTGCACAAGTCATCATGATACTTTGACAAGTTAGCATGTTGTCTGCACATGTCATAATGCTTATTTGACAAGTTAACATGCTGTTTGAACAAGTCAGCATTGTCTGAAGACAAGATATGATGTACATTGCACATGTTAATATGCTTAAATGACAAAATAATATCATCATTTCAGAAGATAGCAAAAATATTGATAGCATAAGACAGTCACGGCGTTCCATAGTATGCCGTTGTCTAATGTTCTGCAAACTAGGAGAGCGTAGGTTTTGTACTTTCGTTTTCGACAAAATAAGTATATATTTTCGTGGTATAAGTATATAGAAAAAAAATCATCATTTTTTTTCTTTCATTTATCACAGAAACTTTTCTTTGGGGCTTATTAATTTATTTAATTTTTTTTTGGGGGGGGGGGGTGGTATGGACACCAAGACTGGACGAGCACCTAATCACACCTGTGATGATACATTGTTAACGCAAATTGTTGCTGTAGACTATGTATTGTAATTCACATTATGTATTATTCGAAAGTAAATTCTGTATATGTGTATTGACTGTCTGCCATATACTGCCAAACCAGTATCGTAAACATAAAAGTATAAAAAAAAGATATACCCGTTATTCGTAGTACAGTAACTGTCAAAAATATACATTTTATCCGTTTTATCTATTAGTAATTTTATATTTCAACAAAGTCAAAGATCCATTAAGATTTATTGATAAACATCTAGATCTACATTTTTCGCCCGAACGATCAATATCAGCTAATATCTGGTCCAATATCAAGCTTAGTTTGCAAAGATATAATACATTAAATTCTCTTATAGAATGAAACGTACAAAAATTCTTAAGATACATGAAACATGCTCGATGCTTTAATTATTGGGCGTAAAAAAAGTAAATGTACCTCTCCATTTTAATTTTCCATAACCTTCCTCAAGCACACAGATATAAAACTGACATGCGCACTTCGGTCGTAATTTTACGGGACTTTCCATTTGGCCTCTTGCCAAGTAGATTTCTAAAGATACTTTAAACTAATGTCACAAAAATAACTTGTCATTATCCTATTTTTCATGTTTTAACTCAATCGGTTTCACAATTAAATGTGAAAATTTTCAACCCAGCAATAATTTCTAATAATCCTTGTAAAGCGTTAAGATGATTACATGAAAAATATTTATACAATTGTTAAAAAAATGATCTGTCATATCTGGAACAAAATATTTTTTGGTCAATATTTTTTGGTCAATTTTTGGTCCAAGGTTATATGCATGTCATTATTTTCTTTGTCTTCATACTGATCCAATTTGAGCAAAATTATCTTAGAAATGCAGCAGGTAAATATGAATTTTCAAAAAAAAAAAAAAAAAAAATTTCATTCCTAGTTTATCGCCTTTTAATAGTTCTATAGACAAAACAATAAAAATTCAAAGTTATCTTTAGATGAATATTCGGTAGAGCTTTATATAAACTAGACTTGTGATCATAAAACTGGCATCAAGTGTTAAATATCAGATGAACTTCCTTTAAAAACTACACAAAGTTTACGTTAAGTCACATTAAACGAGTTTAATATATCTAGCACTTTATTTGATAGATAAATATGTTTAATTTATGACTGTTTGCAAACACTATTATGGATTTCGACGATGCTTGCCGCATTGATTTTACCTAAAATATGTTTAATCTTGTTATTCATGAAATATAATATAAAAAAATTTTTTTTTTTAATATATTGATATTATATTACATGAATAACACGATTAAATATAGTTTAGGTCAAATCAATGCGACTAGCACTTTTGATGGATTTTATTGTTGTTGGTTTTTTTTGTTGTTTATTTTATTTTTAAACTGAAGTCAGATTAGATATATAGATATATTACAATATAATGTTTTACATTTTTAAGATATTGGACAAGGGTTTTTTGATAAAAAAAAAAATAAAGTTCACTATATAATCACTATATCACACACATACACACGCACGCACGCGCGCGCACAAAGCCAGTCAGTATATGCCAGCGTACCACAGGTGCTACGGTGGCTTTTCTATAAAAATAATAAAAAATAAGAAACGGCAAAACTAAAACTGGGGTAGTCTACAGTTCATAGATATCTATATGTGAATTGTATCATAGTTTGGGGACCTTTCTGTTGAAAATGTGGAAATTTACGGGTAATCAAAACTGCGTCGTATCCTACAAAAAGTAAACAAACGCCGCCATCTTGGAACGAAAAACGTATGTTTTTGTTTATAACTTTTTTTGTTGGAAATGACTGAAAACCAGATATATGTATTAACACGCTACACTATTTTCCGCTTCGTTCGGTATACATGTATGTTGCTTGCACAACTATTTTGTAAAACAAAAGTTATAGCGAACTTGCAACTCGAAGCGGGGCAGAATTTTTATGAAAATGTGTGGATACGACGCAGTTCATATTGCTTTATCTATCGTTTTTTCCTTCAAATCAATTATATATTTGTTTCAGAGTTCACCATAAACTTCGAAACATAATTTTGCATCATTTACTTAAATTATATTAAAAAGAGATGTTTATTTTCTAAGAAAATAATGATTTTTACAAAATGATACGACGCAGTGGAAAATAAAATATTATACGACGCAGTTGTATTTTTGGCAGTCTCACAACAGGGATAATTTTGGCAATATAGTTCTATTTTATGGAATAATCACTTGCGCTAGTTAAAAAAACCAGATCATTTGCGGTGTATAGCAATGTTCTGTTGCTTTTGATTATTTAGAATACATTGTGTCATGTCCAATATAACATTTAATTTGAAAGTTTACATTGCGGAAGCTACTTTTCAGTTAAACATGAACATGTTACCTAATTGATCATAACACATTAGCTTTACTAGGGGGCGAGGACCTCAGGTGCGCCTTTGTGCATTATTTTAGGCAAAATGTTGCACCTGCAGAGAACCATCGACATTTTTGAAACTAGCTTGATAGGTTTTCCACACAAAAGAATAATCAAAGGGCTGCAACCTCTGTGGTATTTTCTGATCTTTGCAATCTAAATCATACTGACTATCTGTATGTATTTTCCTGTATAAGTTTATTTTTATATACTATAATTAATCTTACGCAGCGACTGCGTCTATAACAGTTTGAGATTGATACATATGGAATTTTGCATGACTAGAGTTGCATCAAAAAATGACAGCCACACTTTATCCTTGCATATCGTGGCTACTTCCTTAAAAAAGACACTTCAAAAAAAAAAAGTTGCCTCGACTAGGATTTGAACCTTTGGCCTCTCACACCCTAAACGAGCGCGCTACCTCTGCACCACGGTGAAGTAATACATATGTAGCTTGAATAAAAACAAATACATTGTAATTCTAATTTGAGAATTTCCATTTCGTGTTTGTAATCCTTACTAATTTCGAGGTATTTTGTTCACGTTTAACACTGATGAAAATAATTTAGCGAAAATCTTCTCGACAAAACAGTACGACATGTATATATTCCACTACTCGACAGTCAGATTTATTTGTGTACTACGCTCTGGAGTATTCGGTAATCGACATAGCTAAAAATAGCATTTTCATTGATTAAGCTTTACGGAAATGGCCGAACATTTTTCATTGGGTAAAAAAGATATTCATCCGCGATTGTAACCTCATATTTCTATTGACTACTCTAAACGTTTAATGCACTGTAATTCGTTAAATGCCTACATTAAAAATTATTCTTTCTTTTAAATTGCTGGTTTTTAAGCAGTTCTGAGTGAGAACTACTTTGAGTTGTTAGGTCTGTAAGGAAATTTTGTGTTAGACCGTGGATGTTAGCTATGTATTTACTGATCTTGCGATCAGAAAATACAAAAAGTCCCTGGTGGTTTTCGAAATCATAGCAGTTCAGTTCAAGTGATTTGAATTCAGTTAACATAAACAGATCGGCCTCGGTCGGACACACCTGTCTGATTTGTTTTTTTTTTTCAACAAAATTTGTTAACGTCAGCTGTACAAATAAGCAGCTTTTTATTAACTTTAAGATTATAAATATTTGAATTAATTATAAAGAGAATAACATTTAAATTTCTTATTTCGGTATGACTAGCAGAGAAATTTTCAATGTAAACAGGGGGTAATCCTCTGTGAAGTCATTTTCTGAAAACTTGTTTAAGTTTAAGTTTTCAGGCAATTCAATAAAAATCACACTTTAGTATGAAGGTATGTTAAGATGCCATGTCTCTAGTCTCTTGAAAATTCGATGCGATATTCTGACGTACATTTTCTGTTTAATATTGTGAAAACTTCTTCAATACTGTTGAAAGATCATGTTTGCCTATATCTGTATCAAATTTATCGGTGCACAGCGTAAAATACTTTTGCAAAACGGACACCTTCTTTACAAAATAATTTGTAGTTGTATCATTTGTAGTTGTATCATTTGTAACTCGATTTTGATTTTTTTAATGGAGAAGAATGATACTTAAGTGCAAATATATAAAATAAATTCCGTAGACCTTTCCTCATCGGCGATAAAGAAATGCAATTCGACAAAATCAGCGGTAAAGTTCCGCGGCGCTGAACATAAAATGACTACACGGAACGCATAACCTACTTGCAAAAATATATTGTAGCTTAACCATTTATAATATAATTTCAAAAATTTAATGTTCAGTTTCAAATAATAAAGCTCATTCTGTTCTAACCGATTATTAAGAAAATGAATACAATAAATTAGGCATGTAAAAGACATAAGTAATTACGGACTTGTCGGAAATTGTTGTTAATTACAAGTAACATAGGTAGTCATGCAATTTGTGCATACCCCCCTCTCTTCCGATAGCATGAGGCCTTTTTCAAAATTTGTAATTCTTTCTCTTTTTTTTAAAAAAAAAAGGTCATTCCTAATTAATACAGGGTCCAGGAGAGGTTACACTGGAATCAAAAATAGTTATCACTCCCATTTCTGACTCAAGGGAACAATTTTAGAAGAATGCTCAGGCAACACTGGAACACGTTGTCATATGGGTGTGCGATCACGTGTTTCAATGTATATTGCATTTGATACAGCATTTCGGAATTTGAAGATGCTTATGACAGGTACTAAAATGCGACCGAAAAATGCAGCCTTTATAGCATTGTATTACATTTCCATTTTTATGGAACCAATGGATGACCTCTGCTTTTGACTTAAGTTATAAACAAGAAATGTTGTTGGACGTTATAAGCATACCTAGCACATAATTTATAATAGTTTAACCAATATAAAATACAACTGCGTCGTATCATATTTTATTTTCCACTGCGTCGTATCATTTTGTAAAAATAATTATTTTCTTGGAAAATAAATATCTCTTTTTAATAAAAGTTTAGTAAATGATGCAAAATTATGTTTTGAAGTTATGGTGAACTCTGAAAACGAGTATATAATTGATTTGAAGGAAAAAACGATAGATAAAGCAATATGAACTGCGTCGTATCCACACAATTTCATAAAAATTCTGCCCCGCTTCGAGTTGCAAGTTCGCTATAACTTTTGTTTTACAAAATAGTTGGGCAAGCAACATATACCGAACGAAGCGGGAAATAGTGTAGCGTGTTAATACATATATCTGGTTATCAGTCATTTCCAACAAAAAGAGTTATTAACAAAAACATACATTTTGGTTCCAAGATGGCGGCGTTTGTTTACATTTTGAAGGATACGACGCAGTTTTGATTCCAAGCCATGGGGTATATTTTCGGGAAATTAATCGAACAATCAGATGACGGTTGTTTATATTCGTCAAGATGGCGGTGTTTTCATAGAAATTTCAACGGGGAAATATTCTGAAGCCGCTGCTGACTTAATATCACATTGTCATTATATGTTATTGGAATATTTTGATTACTTTTATGTATTTTTAATTGCCCGGCATGATAAATGCTTGTGATATTATCTCTAACGATTGCAACAATCATGTAACCTTGTGTTTCTTGCGTAGCCACGATCGTTGTCGACCTCG